TTTTTTTTTTTTTAATATATGTGGTGGTCTATCTTAATTTTTAATTTTTCAGGATTGCCAAACAAATCTTCAAAACAATCTATCCCGCCCCTCGTGGGTGTCGTGTGGGATGCTTGCTCCGCTCTGAAGAAAACGCCTTCGACAAATGTGACGGCCATCGGGCGGGCCATGACGCAGATTGGTGCCACCATGAAAGATGTTCTCCGAGAGATGAATGAGCTAAGGCCGGCCCCTGATGACCCCACCACCAAAGCACCCGAGGAGGAAGACGAAGACGAAGACGAAGACCTGGGCAACGATCTGTCGCCCGACGAGATGAAAACCGCACAACTAACAATTACGGCCGTTTCTGAAATTCTGGGTGTCATCAAGGAATTGATCCGGTCGATCACGAGACTGGTGAGAGGGGAAGACCGTGAGGGTAGTGCATCTTTTGTGGACTCCTTGGAGAAGCTTTTGGTGGCGTGCAAAGGTGTTGGTGTGCAGGTGGACGAGCTTGGGGCGTGCCTTTACCCGCCTCAGGAGGTGTCGGCAATTAAGGAGGCCTTAGGGAAGATTTTGGGGTTTTGCGATGAGATAGAGATGGAGTTGAGGAGGATCGAGGGTTATACGGAGGATTTTGGCAGGGCATATACCAGTTTAAAGACTCGATTGAGACTGTTGGAGTGTGAAGTGGGCTGTGAAGGTTTTCAGTCAAGAATGGAGAATCTTGTGATAGGTGATTAGGTGTTTTTCTTGTTTTTTGTTGGGTTTTTTTGTACTATTTGAGTTTTGTTTACAAGCTGGAATTTTAATATGTTTGTGTTTGGAGGGAACTTGTGTTTTAGAGAAGCACCAGTTTTGTTGTGAAAAATGGTCGAGAAATCAGACATTGGTGTTTGCAAATGGGACATTGATGGTCGAATGGGTAAAATGTTTGTGAGATGCTCTACAGTCAAACATGAGATTACAGATTAGACTCTGCCCGGTCAAGCCCGTTGACTGAGGGCCCAGAACTAAGGCTGGTGGGTTCACCGGGCTGGTTTAGGTTCACAAATTAATAAATTTGTGAACAGTTGGTTCTGGATTAGAGTCTGCTAAGGAGGCCAGAACGTGTTGAACCTAAGTGGCAGTGTTGCATGTTTCGGGATTCTATATAGCAAAATTGCATGTTTTTCTTAGATTTTAATTTACTTTCAACCCAAAAATAATTAAGTTCAGATTATCCATAAATATGTTAATTATTTATGGTCATGTTACATGTATTAATTGTATTTTAATATCATTTCTTATTATAACAACTAGTGGGTACCCGTGCGATGCACGAGCTAATTTTATTAAGGTAAGCAGTTAAATTTGGATGATTGGAAGAACGTAAAATACATATATTGAAATGAAACACAACGTAACGTTGTATTTTATTAAACACATCATTGTACACATTATTTGTTTGGTCTTTTGGTACATCGTCTATCGCCATAAATTATATTAAGATTGTAGATAGTCTTAAATAAATCGATTAAATTATTTAGCAGAATATATACGATATTTTGTAAGTGTATGAAATCATTATTTATTTTGTAAGTGTATTCAATCAATTTCAAATTTATATTCTAGATAATTAAACAAAACCCAATTTTTTAGGATGTTGAAATCCGATTTCATTTTGAATTTCAAATTAATATTATATGACTTTGTTTTATGTTTACATGAAGTCCGAATTAAAGAAAGTAGTAATCAAATGATAAAAGATTTTAAATTTTAATTTGAAATTTGGCCCGATTTTTATGTAATCCGATTTTTTTAATAAACATGATCTACTACAATTAGGTAAAGATACATGTTATAGTGTTTTGTCTAATTCAAAATTCTCGATTGTATGGTAGAATTTTGACTTTTACAAAATTGTCATGCCTACTATGCAATCCGATTTTTATAATGAATAATTGATTTGTTGCAATTAGTAAAAGATATATGTGATAGTATTTTGCCTAATTCGAAATTCTTATTTTATTTTAATCGGTTTTTTTTAATAAAAATAGAGAAAGAAAATTGACTTTTGCATCAGTCGAAATTTACCTAAATTAAATCCACAAATTATATAAATTTAGGGTGCATATTAAAAAAATAAAATTGTTGTACCATTTCAAGATTAAATCAACCATAATTAGTTTTAATTAAAATATAATAGTTTCCAAACAAAACACTTTAGTTAGCCAAAAATTTATGCTATGTAATATTGTTTCTTTAGGTAGCACGATTTTTTGAAAGAAAAGTGACAAATACCATAATTTTAGGGTAGCGTTTAATGCTGATTTTTTTGAAAAAAAAAAAAAAGAAGTTACTAAGTATGGATTGTAATTAATGCTAATTGAGATTTGACCAGAATTTGACTTACTATTTTTAAGAAATGGTAATTTTTTTTATATATACATAGATTGAATTGTAAATGTATTTTAAAAGTTAATAATATTTGTATGTTTATCAGTTTTACATATATAATATATCAAATTAATCAGCTCTTGATGTGTTTTGATTTAACATACATATTGTTTGTATGAAAAAAACTATATTTATCTTTATAACATTAATAATTTTATTTTTAATATTAATTAGAAAAATAAAATTATTTATCAATTAATATATTTATATTTCATGTAGTTATATGATATGAGTTATAAAATTACAATGATATAACGCATATAAGTCACATAAATAATAAGTGTCATTCTAAACTATATATAATATATATTTTTTGTAAGAAAGTAAATAAAATTTAAAATAATTTTCTCTTTATTTTAAAAATTTCAGAATAATTTTTTAATAAACACCCGTGTAATACATGTGTGTTGTACAAATTTTTTTATTATTAAATACGACATAGGGTCCGAACCGACCCGCTTGGAACCGCCACGGTCATATTTCTAAATCTGACTTTTGGATCATTTGACTGTTAAGATCCAACGGTCAAGATTAAATTGACCTGTCTAAACCCTCATGCCGACCATGAGCTGTCGGTTTATAAAATTAAAGAAAATAAACAAATAAAAAAATCAATACATAACCCATGCCCCCCCTCCCCCCAAAAAAATGATTTTTCATAACATATTCAACTATCTCTCACTTTCTTCTTCTAAATCTTAATGTTCTAGTGATATTTTCAGTTTTTGTTCCCGATTCTCGATAAAATTGGTCCGGTTCTGTTTAAATTCGATTTTGATTCTATATACTCACTTTCATTTCAGTTTCGGTTCTATAAATTCTCTACATAATACACTCTCATTTCTAATTTCTACCATTTTCACCTCCCTTTTTATTTATAAAATTTTTCGAAGTTATAAAATGTCGAGTGTTCGTGGTAGTGCCGGTGATAGGCCACACAAGCGTAATAATGTTACCTACATTGTCAACGCCAACGATATACCTGGATGTACTAGCTCTACTCGACGACATTGATTTTGAGACGATCAACCTCATTTTTCACTCTATTGATGAAATCCATGAGAGCTTAAAGTTCGAGGAGAACGAGAACCAGGAGCTGCCGTATGAAGACGATTTCGATCCTACTAGGCCAACAACCTCAAAGGTTGAAATCCAATATATTCACAAGACTTGTTCAAAACTTAGGTACAATTGTTAAAATATCACTTGTAAGCTGTTTCACATCGTTTATCCAGGAAACATATGTCTAACTTATAAGACTAGTGGGTTACTCCTCTCGTCAACCAATTGGTTTTGGAATGTAAACTCACTTGGGTTTCATCTGGGCTCACCTTGTTATGGTACGCTTCACGTGCGTGGGACCACACTCATTTTCCCCTCATTTCTTACATGGTATCAGAGCCGGTTCTACGTGGGACCGTGCGATGGTGTACCCGTCACCCAACCCAGTTGGGCTTGGGCTAATGACTCTGTATAAGGGTTTGGGCTACATATGAAGGACTCACATATGAGGAGGCGTGTTGGAATATCACTTGTGAGTTATCCCACATCGTTTATAATGAGACTTTCAACAGACTCTGTGGCGGGATTATGATGAGACTTTTGCTCCCGTTGCTCACACGACTATTGTTCGTACTTTGATTGCAGTGGCTGCTACTCGTTCCTGGACCATATTTCAGTTTGATGCAAATAATGCTTTCCTTCATGGTGATCTGCATGAGGAAGTTTATATGCAGCCACCACTAGGTGTTGATGCCCCCTCTGGACATGTTTGTCGTCTTCGTCACGCATTATATGGTCTCAAACAGGCTCCTCTTGCTTGGTTTGAGCGTTTTGTTTCTGTCATACGGGTTGTTGGTTTCTCCCCTAGTGATCATGATCTTGCTTTGTTTATTCATCTCTCTTCACGTTGGCGTACTATACTTCTTCTATACGTTGATGATATGTTGGTTACGGAGGATGATACAAAACATATTTTTCATGTAAAAAAGCAACTTGGTTGACAATTTTAAATGTCCGATTTGGGTCCTCTTAGCTACTTTTTGGGCACTGAGGTGATGCATTCTACCTTGGGCTATTACTTTTCTCAGTCCAAATACATACTTGACCTTCTTGTTCATTCTGGTATTACTGATAATCGGACAGCGGTTACACCTATGGATCTTCACTTACAACTTCGTCCCACTAATGGTATGCCTCTTGAGGATCCCTCTCGCTATCGACATATTGTAGGCAGTCTTGTTTGCCTTACTGTTACCAGACCCGATATTGCTACGATAGTTAAGGGGAACATCATCTCAATGTTTATTATATGCTCGTGATATCCTCTTCAGCTTCATGCTTACTCAGATTCTACTTAGGCAAGTAATCCAACTGATCGTCATTCTGTGAATGGTTATTACTTTTTTCTTAGTTCTTCTCTCCTTACATGGAAGTCCAAGAAGCAGACAGTTGTATCTCGATCTAGCACAGAGGCAGAACTTCTAGCACTTGCTTTTACCACCGCATAAATTATATGGCTTCGATGGTTTATAACCGATTTTAATATTCCATTTGATGATCCTACGCCTCTTCTTTGTGATAATACTGGAGCAATCCAAATTGCCAATGATCCAGTAAAGCATGAACTTACAAAACACATTGGTGTTGATGCTTCTTTACCCGATCTCACTGTCATCGGAAAACAATGGTTCTTCAGTATGTGCCGACAGAATTAGAAGTGGCTGATTTTTTCACCAAAGCACAAATCAGAGAGCAACATCGACTTCACTTTCTCGAACTCAATACTTTGGATCCTCTACCTCCACCTTGAGTTTGAAGGGGGGTGTTAACTATTATAGGCCCAAACCATATATAAATAGGCCTTAAGTCCATTTATATGGGATCCCTCCTCACTCGTGCATTATCCATTCATCCAAAACCCTAGGTTGTAACATGATATCAGAGTGGGTTCTACGTGGGACCGTACGATGACGTACGCATCACCCAACCCAGTTGGGCTTGGGCTCTGACTCCGTATATTGGCTTGGGCTTCGTATGAAGGACTCACAACTGAGGCGACGTGCGATTTTTCCCACATCGTTTATACAGGGAACATAAGCCTAATGGGCTACTCATCCCATCAACCAATTGGTTTTGGGATGGAATGTCACTTGGGCTTCATCTGGGCTCACCCTGTTACGGTGCGCTTCACGTGCGTGGGACCACATTCATTTTCGCCGTGTTTCTTACAATAATTGTACAAACTATTGTGATCAATTGTATTGTAATTTTAGAATCGGTGGATCTTGACTGATGAATTATAC